TAATGACTTAGTGGCCGATTCATGTCATGTATAACATTTTCATTAATGGAATCCCATAGTGAATTTTCTCGAGAAAAAAGGAAATCGCAAAACTGCAAATAATATTTCTTTGTAACAGAAAATCAATACAACGCCTGATAAAATTGATCCTGTGTAAAAAAAGAAATTGAAATAATTAAATTACTATTAAAATAATTCCAATACATTATAGAATAAACACTCCGAGCAGAATTGCAAAGATCTGAGCAAAAAAAAATTGCACCTCAGTAATGCTAAGGGCCGGCTCGGGAATATCTCTAGATGGATCCCATTCTCTTAAGAAACGCCTAAGAAAATCACTGGCTCTGTCGCGAATAATCCCTATTTCATCCTGAAAATTTTCAGAATTTCAATCCTGTTAATTGTGATGAAATATGCACTGGTATTTACCGTCATAGTGTAAAAATGGAGTAACGATTAAAAATTGGAAAATGTACTCCAGTAAGATAAAAGCATTACATGCAAACCCTGCTACAAAGGCAAAAATGTTTATTGTTACCTACGTTTTGCTTATCCTTCTGAAACCGCAAGAAATTGTTGAAGCTAACAACAGCAGCGTCATCCGAATAAACTGCAAAGTGTTCTGCGAAAAGCTGCAAAAAGTGTGAAAATTTTAGAAACTATGAACAGAATGGAATAATTACAATTAACCAATAAATTGTTCTAAAATAAAGAATTCGATTAGTGATTAGCAAAGACCGAAGATCAACACCAACTGGCCTAGGATTGCTTAAAAGAAAACGAGTATAACTATGAGACAAAAAAGGAGTTTTGAGAAGTTATCTGTTATAGATAAGCAAGCAAAACAATTAATTAAAAAATAAAAAAAACAAAGTTTCGCAACTTACAGAATTAGCGTGAAGAAGTTTGCGATAGACATTTGCGAAAGTATCATAAGACATTATCTCCTGAAACAAATCAAAATAGTAGTCGATGAAAATCATTGCAGTTCAATTTTCTGCGACTAATCCAACAAAAAAAAATGCCCAAATTTAGACATATAAGTTTATTTCCAAGCCAAATAGTTAAAAACGATTGTAAGAAGTTTTTCTGCAATAAAATAACTTGCCTCGCAAACTTCTTGCAACTGTTTTGATTGTACTTTATACTGCAAATTTGTTTGCACGAACGGCTTCATATGTTTCATTGCTACGCTGCAAACTGAGCAAACGTGAAGACGATGGTAATATGATAAGATATCCTAGTGTATTAGAAATTAAAAAATCATGAAAATTTATTTCGAAACATATTGATGCATAATAAACTCATAAAGTCCATGTTCTCGTAAATCCATTTTACAAATGTTTTAGTAAGCATCACTTCACATAGCTTTCTATCATCCCATGACTCTAATATGTGGTTAATATCACATCATGAACTTGTTCCCACACTTTGAATATTCTAGCATATGACTGTTGATTTTCGATGACATCAAAAGAAGTATAAGTTTGCTGTTACCTGTAAACAGTTTGAAATTCGAACTTACCAAGGGTTTTCAAGATCATATCCAGCAATATTATAGAACTCTTTTCTGAGCCACCGTTCTATAACAAGTGCATGACAAGCAGAAATTGTATCGAGCATCAAGAAGTGAACACCCTGACACCACATTCGACATAAATCTTCCGTATCAACTGGAAAAAAATCACGTTTTAAAAAATAGCTGTTAAAAATGAATTTGATATCACATATCTGATGCTGTTGCAGTGGCCGTTGTAAATGAAACCTTCCACGCTTGACTGGCCTAAAATGATACTGCATTTTTGTGTACCACAAAGTGCAGGTACTCACACAATAAAATCCAATATCGCAAATTGAAACTCGTTGTATAACTCAAAACTAATATTCTAGCTGCATCAAATTGTTTGATTTCTTTGTCTTTTTCCCACTTGTCGCCGATTTTGATTTTTTTCAACTTAAAATCAAGTGTATGTACCTCCTTCACTATTCGCAAATCTAATCGTAGAGTTTTACCACTACCCTGAAACGCAACTAATTTGAATTCATAACAAAGCCAATGCTAGAGACAATATAAGTGATTAATCCAGTTACTGAAGTCAATTAAACGTTTATTTCATTACGGCTATTGATAATATTAAGGCTTTTAATGCAGATTTTCTATACTACTGAAACGACACTGTTCAAAAAAGCTATTTCGTGTCTGCTTCTTTTTCTTATCTGTTTTTAAAGTCATCTTATTTTTGCCTAATTTTAATTAATTCTCAACTGCTAAAAACTATATTAAGATGCCACGTCAAAAAATTTCAAATTGTTCAGTCAATAGTATAAATTCATAAATATAAATTTCATAAAATACAAGAAAATCCTTAGCTTATTTTTAACCTTTTCAGAATTACCCAGTTTCGACAAAAATAACTGTCTCGTCTCACGGTTATATGTAAGTCTTTTATGTGCTGGATCGCGTCGCTTGAGCAATAGAAGTTTGTAAACGTTATGACCTAAAAAATCAACAATCATTTGTCAATTATTAAATAGAACGCTATCGAATGATTAGAAAAATACATACATTATCACATTCCGAATTTTCTTATGTTTTCATAATATAAAAGAGATTAATAAACGAAATATAACGAGTATAAACAGATTCTTTCCTCAAGGAACTGCTCTTCAAAAACCATAATATTGGTAGTCCTGGCAGTATCAACAAAGTGATATGTTAGCTGCGTTACAAGCCATATTTAATTTTTTATCACTTGGTGTTTTATACAACAAGAAAAATCACCCATTTCCATTGCATGAAACACTTTTTCCATTCCAAATTCCATTGAACGTGATGCTATAAGCGGATTAGTTGTAAATAGGGAAGAGGATAATACTGAACGCTGAGGCAACAATACCGAATCTGCTGAGCTTTGAGAACACATTTTAGTCTTTCCTCAGAAATATGTTTCTACATTACTACAAGTGAACACTTATTTCACATTTCAATCTGAAATGAAATTCAAGTCAAAAATGTTTTGAAAACGCGAAAAGAAATATTTCGGATATACTTCGTTTCCGATATACTTCGGTATATACTTCTCACATTAGTAATTTCCATTAAGTTATGAACCACGACTATTCATTATTTTAAGTCAAAAAAATACAAATATAACTAAAAATAAGTAACTTTATGATCTCATGTTCAGATTTGTCAAACAAACTTATGACGATTTAACTGATTTTATCAACTATTCAAGTTCCATGATACTAATTCAAATTTGTTAGCACGGGTTAGCAGCAAATTGAAATTTAATTAACAGAAGTGCTTTGGTAATTTAATTAATTTCTAAAATTTTCATAGTACAGTGATTTATTAAAGTACTCTTGCGATCATGACAAATTTATATACTAATCCTTTAAACCAAAATATAACATTCATTATTTATGGATTCTGTTTGAGCTTGATAGCTCACTCCCGCAGAGTTTTTGTCAAACGTTAGCTAATTTGCAACATAAACAATTCAAAATTAAGTAACAGAATTAATTAAATGCAAATAACGAAGTGATACTTCGGAGGGCACATAAAATTGACTTGAAAATGTGAAGCAAAAATTGTGATAAATTCTTTTGTAAAATATAGTAAGGTCAGAATCGACTCTAAAGAATTTATCACGTGCAAAAGATAAAATTCATCATTTCCAAACTGTTATTATTTGTAGCGATGAAAATATTGCTGCAATCTTTTCTTCTTTCAACATGTCCAATTTTTTTAATTTCAATTTACGATTCACTTTAACATTTTCGTCTTTGCTTGGAAGTAACTGGAACTGCTAAATGATTAAAACCAAAGAATCATCGTTTTTTCACCAGCAATATTTTAAATGTTATTGATTGGAAATTGCAGGATTATTTTAAACTAGCAGAAATATTAGTACCTTATTCGAGTGTGTAGAAATTTTTAAAATTCGAAATTTTTATGATTATTAACATTAACACTTTTCATTTAAAATTCATTATTTGCTGGATTTTTAATTTTATTGCAGTGCCTTACGCCAGCATCAAAACATCGAAATATGAATTATTTAATAATTATCATATGAATTAAACAATTATTCAAGCGTATTTTCAAATTCAGTGACTAGTCTAAAATAAATCTCCTTAATTACAACTGTTATGTAATACTCTTTGTTTTATTCGATTGTAAGATCTTTAAGCTACACCAAGAAACTTTTATTGCAATAAAATTTTTAAACAACTATCTCTAAAAAGTTAATTAAAGAAATATTGAGAAAACATATTTCAATTAAACTTAAATTTCGAAACGAAATTAGTGACACTTTTGAGAGCGTAAACATTTGCTTTTCTTTGAAATTATTTCTGCGTCATCATATGTTGTTCCTCATATCTTCCCATGCACTTTATTATACAAAATCCTTATATCAATTAAAATAATGAATTCATTAAATTGGCTTTATTTGAAATATGCTCTAACTTAGAAGGATAAGGATATTTTTTTTCTAAAAAGAAATTCTATGGTCCGTTCCAATTTCTACAGTGAAAATTACGAAAAATTATAGAAATGTGAAATAAAGACTAACATAAAGTGTACAGCCCCTTCCACCAAACACCAGTAAACTCTACAAAGGTTAGCAAGGATTTTTAAGCCAAAAGAAATCTATACTTTGAAGCAGATCCCATAATCCATTAGATCTCTCTCTGATCCTTTCTGATGCTATCTGAGGCTTCATCCAACTTCCTCTACACTAAATGATAGAAAATCATCTATAAATATGTATGGTAAATGAAAGTAATTCGGAATAAATATGAGAATCAAATGAAAGAAATTCGGAATAAATATGAGAAATGAAGGAAATTTTGATTAAACATGAGAATTTAGTGAAATAAATTTGAAGTATGGTAATTAAATGAAAGGAAATTTGAAAAAAGACAAGGGAATACTGTCACCGCTCTCTCTTTACATATTTCTTGCACCGATACAGAAATCTGATTATCGTTGCAAGAAACGAACAGATACGAAAATGCTTATAGGCGGAGCTTTTAGCATGGCGGAAAAAAATGCGTGAGTGTGAGTATCTCCGAGTGTAAGTCAGCGAGCTAAGATAGCATTCCGTCTTGTGTTATTGCTAACATTTCGTGGAACTCTCAGAAATCACTGTGAGATTTCCTTTATCTCCTCTGAATAGGGCGGGAAAAATTCAAGAAATTTTTCATTAGTGGGACAATCGGTGATTAGCGACTCATTGCTCGTTACTTTATAAAGTTATGAGCAATGAATCATTTTTGATTGATTGCCTCAGTAAATGCTTTTTGAAATCTGCATTGTTGAACTACTGATAGGTTATCGGGATTGTTACAGTCTATCGCTTCAAGATTTTCTCACATCTGTAGGGATTGAACATGCTTGTATTAATAAGGAAGAAATACCAAAAACAATTATCTAAATTTGTCGATATTTTCTCTCCAATCTTTTTTCTTGGCCTGAGAATAATTCGCTAATCTGCTACTATTTTCGAGATTTGATGCTAACTGTCTCCAGTATGTCATCAGTTCCCATCCTTTTGGCGCTATTCTTGAGTATCACAAATCTCTCTCACGCCTTCATTTCTAATCCAAAATTTGTTCACTTGAATAGTTCTATTAGATTTTATGAAAATGAAACAAATTCATTGATACGAACAGACAATGTTTACATCGATTACAAATCGTGCTTGGAATATCGTATCAAAATTGAAGGACATCAAACAAGGTAATTAAATGCTTTTAACGACAAGAAATTATGATCATTTATCAATTTAAAAAAAAAAAAATCCCAAAAATGAAAAATATTTGAGCAGTCATTTCCTTGATCAAATAGTTAACGTTTAATTAAAATTTCGAATCAAGAATTGTTGGAAATATTTAACATAGCTTATCCCATGCTCTTTAATGTTTCTTTTCATTGATTAATTTCACAATGAAAATTTTCGATTTTGTTTGTAAATATTTCTTATTTTAACCAAAGACTGAAAATCTCCAGCATTGACTGCTTTAGATGAATTATTGTACTTTTAAATAACTATCAAGTGAACTATGAAATAAATTGAAGTTAAAATAACTTCATTTTTTTTGTTTTTTAATAATATACACAAAACGAATGAATGTTTATTTTATTTCTTTTAGAATTTGACGGTAATCGTTGAAAAAAAATTGAGCTAAAATTTTAACACTCAAAACTATAAATTCAAAAATTATTTTTTGCTGTACAAATTGAATGCTTACATTTTTGATCTGTATTCAATGATTCTTTTAAAATATGATGTAGTTCACGAAAAAAAAGCAAAACTGTTCTCATATGCACATCAATCATTAGTTTTTCTCGTTTGAATTATCATTTTTTTTTCTTTAGTATTTCCATAAATTTATTCTTAGGATCAGTTTGTGCACCATACGGAAATCAGAAACATTAATAAAAGTACGTTTGAATTTCCCTATTTTCCTTTTGTGCTTTATAATTTTGATGAAGTTTTATTTTGTTTTCATTATCCGTCATTGTACCATCTACCGGCAATCCATCAAATATATTTAGAAAGCGCTTGCTCATTAAACACATTCGATTCCAATTTCAAGATACTTAACTGCTTTAAAAGTGAATGTAAAAAATCGATCGTTTAATTTATGATAATTATATTATCAAATTTTTAGCAACGAAGAGAAATCGTACAAGTAAATTTTGAAGCATTAATCTGTTGGGAAGTTTTAGTGAAACATCAAGAAGCATTCATATAAATTATTTTGCTTTTTATTTACATTCTCAAATTTTGTCACATCATTATACTTGCTATATATTTAAATCAATAGATTTGTTTATTGATTTAGATACTTATTGAATGATCGAAAATTAAAATTAGAAATGAGGAAAACGAGAAATTATTTTCAATATTTAATGTAAATGACAAAGACGTTTGTTCGTCTGCTCCATGAACAAATACTTTTTACTTACAATTTCGACCTTATTTACGTTTTTGAATTAATATTAATTGATTGCAAGAAATTTTGTTTAAAATTGCATTTCAACCGTTAACGGATAATTTTATGAAACAATTTTGGAAAGATTTTGTGAGTAGTAAAACTGAAGCTTAGTTTTTTTCTTAAAAAGCGAACAACTAACTGAACCATGAAGCCTTACCAAAGACGGATGCATGTATCAGTAGAGATATCAGAATCCTTTATTTGTACACACTTCACTTTCGGTTAATGCATGAATGCTTGTTTACTAAATATGAATCTTTCAAAATTGAGCTTAGTCAATCCGTTAGTTGAGATTTAATTTTGAAAAAAAGCAGCAAAATCCAAAATTGAAATTTTAAAGAAAAGAAAGAATGCATAAAAATAATGTTTCTGAATTTATTGGATTGTGCTGAAAAATAGGAAGGAATGAAGGAATATAACGTGCGAACTAACTTTGTACAAATGATGATATATATATATATATATATGTATATATATGTGAAATGACAAACTCAAATTTTCAAATTCATCGATGAATTGCAAATTTTACAGGTTAGCAGTATTGAGCAGGGAATAATTATCTAGTTGGCTATCTACTTATTTTTTTCTATTTATGGCTATATAATTACTTTCAATTGCATCATTACTCATGCATTTTTTAAATAGGTTATTACAGTTATGTGGTATGAATCATAAGCATTTTAGAAAAATATTTCAGCTCAAATGTTGAAATTAAAAAAAAATAGTTTTATATATTGCAAAAAGTCGTTTGTTTTTTATTTGTGTTAGAAAGATCATAAACTACAATTCGACCAATGATATCGTTACTTGATTTAACTGTCAGATGTAAATGCAAAAACGCTGAAATTTTCATTAATGAAACGAATTACTGAATTCAATAAATAATTGCTGTTCATTTTCATTTTATTAACTAAACAATTAAAAACAGAGAAAAGTGAAATAAAGCAAAGGAAAGGTCAAATCAATGGAAAATTTCGCAAATAGTTTTTTTTTCTTATATCATAGTAGTGATAATAAATGAGAGTAATAAAATCTTTTTACGATTGCTAACACTTATAATAGATTGAGAAAGTAGTTAAATAATTACAAGGACAATATTAATATAAAGTAAGGCTACAACTTTAGCTGGACAAAAAATGGGAATTAAAATTTAGATTCTGTTCAAAATGAGCCCATGGCTATTGATTTAACAATTTTGAGCCTTGTCCATTTGTTAGGTGGACAGAGCCTGAGTTATTAATTTTATCAGAATAAGCGAATCTTACATTACTTTTGGACTTAATTTTTTTTCTTGAAAGATTTGTGGTTATAAAAAGTGGCATAAAAAGAGTTTTACATGTGCTTGCAGAGTTCACGTATATGCATGTCACATGTCAGAAGGTGGCAGTTGCACCTTTGATGGTTACCGTGGAGGAATTGGAACGTTTGATAAAGAAACTTGTCATCGAATACGGGCTTGGATGTATCATCCCGATTATTATGCCTTTTTTTTCGCATTCGAAAGAAGGCCATGAAACTTTCAATATAATAAAAGTCGAAAGCGTTATTTTCGACGAATAAGAAGGTATGCTTGCAAGAAATTATTAAAATTATGCTCTACACATTTAAGTATAATTTTTTCATTTTAATTAAAATTAATTTAAGCGATAGAGTCATTATTAACTAGAAGTTACCTATCCTGGAATAAAAACTCGTGTTAGTTACATTTCAAGTATGGAACTAATGATTTTGAAATTTTAAATTTTAAGAAAGAGAGATGTACGTGTAAAAGCATTATTGTTATTGGGTAGTATTATGGAATGTCGCAAGACGTGCGGTAAGTAAACTGAGAGTAAAAAGATTATTTTTCTGTGCAAGAAGTTACTTTTTGTGATAATTTTTGGTTTAAGACAAAAATTTCCAGAAATAATGCTAACTTAAAGGAATAATTTATTGGGAAAAATTTTTTTGGAAACAGATGGATAGCAACAATATAAAAATTCTTGATTGGCTCATTTTTCATTGAATTATTTCAATTACTTTTTATTGTTATGCATCGAAGATAAAAGAAATTCTTATCAAAATAAGTCTTGCGATTTTTCTTAAATTTTCTGTTCGAGGAATTTCCACTCTTATTTGTATTTAGTGAGAAATCCAAAATGAATCATTCGTTGAAAATATCTGTAGAAGCGTATTCTGCTATATGTCTGTTCTGTTGTATTTCCTCAACATTTTAATAAATTGTATAAAATTAATTTTCTCTTCGGAAATGATAATGTAAGGCTATTAAAAAAATTTTCAAATTCTTGCCGATTTTATTCACAAATTGCTATTGATCATTTCACTTATTTTTCGTTCATCTTTTTTTTCAAGATAGGCGAGAGTTAAAAATGGCTAGACCGGTAATGGCTAGACCCAATGACAAGTTTTGTAAAGTTTATGAATTCATTTTTAAACAAAAACTGGTTTAGAGTTTTAGAAATAGCTTTGTCTATTATTCGAATGCTATTCATCGTATTTGATTGACTTGCCAACTAACTGATAGAATTTTGCTGTATTGACAAAAAACAATGAAAAATTCTGTGTGCTCAAATCTGTGAAATGTTTCTTTCCCTCTTCCGTGCCAAAAAATTTTGATAGAAAAAAATAAAAACTAATTTATTGTAACATTGCATGCGAACGCGCAAAAATACATTTTTTTGATATCAACGTTAAAAATTTTTTAATTGCAAATTGATGATAAAATATCCAAAATTATTTTAAAACTCTTTGTTCGCATTCTTAAAAAAATTCAACAAATTTAGTTGTAATTTAATAACTTTTCGAAAACATTTCCATCAGTTCCATTCTTCGGATATAAACTCCTGACTGACTTGCATTATAGAGATTTCATAATCTGATTTATTCATATCATGCGTTTCACAGTAGACAGCCCTAAAAACGAACTATATTTTATCCATTGCAAAGTTTTTGATGGGATGTCTCCTCCTATGTTTTGATTTTAAATTAACTCAATTGTTTCCGATTTTTAAAACTAATTAACTTGTTTTACTCCCGAAGACTTCATTAAAATTAAATAAAATTTTAAGTTCTCTCACAAAAAAACCCGATCATTTCACTTGCTTAGCTTAAGAATATTGCTGGAACTCTCTCCACTGAATAGAAATCGGTTGCATGGTGATGACGTAAAATTAGCATTGCAAAACCTAACTTAATCAAAGACAGTTTATTTAAACATTGCAGTAATCATTTGCTATTTTCTTAGTTTGGAAAAAAATTATAAGTGATATTTCCTTTTACTTCCTCAATCCTTCCTTTCTGAAAAAACAATTACAACAATAAATAAATTTCTTCAAATCGATTTTCCTGTCAAAATTACGGAAAATCTTCCGTTGAAGAAAGTTTTATTTATGAAACCATGTGTACATCAATAAGAATTACAGAAAACATAATTAATATGGTAAAGTCATGATTTGCATACCAATGTGATTGTTGGATAATTTTTACTAATATAAATAAAGCGAAGAATAAATTTTTGATGCCTAAATCCCGTATTCATAGTAGAAGTTTTTTTGAAATTAAATCACATCAAGACATTACTCAGTACTGAAAATCTTCAAAAATAAAATCTGAGATCAAGATATATGAATAAAAGAATTAAATATATTATTATGCCTCAATAAGTATTTAAGGCAGAAATTAACCTTCAAATGAAAAATCCAAATCTCCAATGTCATAATAAAAAGTGACACTCAAAACCGGACAATATAAACCCATCAGAGTACGAACTGAATCATAATGGATTATAAAGATCAACGCCAAAATTATGCTTTAAATTGCCGAATACTGTCTTCTTCGGAAATAGAAGCAAAAGATCACCTAGAAAATTACTTGAAAAAAATTTAACATCAGACCAGAAAACAAAGGCATAATAAGAGGGCTAAATGTCTTATTTAGTGAATCACATTGATGCCTTCACCACACAATATAATGTTATGAATCGTTACCTTTCGCCATTTTTTCATCAGTTCATATTTACAAATTCAGATAAATACAAACTGGCATGGAAAAAAAAATTATAAATGAGGATGAAAAAAAATCAATATATTTCATCAGTTGTTCAACCTAAAATCCCTAAACTTGAAAAAATTTGAAAGTCTCAGCTCATAAATGTTGTCAAAAGTAGAAAAAAGGGGAATTTGTCAGAACAGTATGTGTAGATAAAAAATGCTACTTGAAATAAAGAGATCAGAAATAGACAAAGAAAGCATTTTCTGTAAGAAAAGGAACAATTATATTCGAGTTATTTCTTGATTAATATCACTTGAGAGAGCTCAAATCCACTTCTCAGAAATCAAAGCTCCAACGAATCAAATTTTCCAAAGAAAATGGAAAGAACATAGGGAACGATGAATTGTCTACAAAATTGCACAATAATGAATTGACATATAATCAACTGAATCGCTCTAAGATGAGGTAGTGCAGAAGAAAATGGATCCATCACCACAAGCGATGACCAAATTATCATCGTAATAATCGAACTAAAAATTAATTCTATATCTTAGTAAAACCAAATGAAAATTATGAAAGAATATTTCCTTTTCTTGAATTCATATAAACAAAAGTCACTTATCAGTATTTTTGTTATTGTTATCTTTAATAAAATCTACTCTGGACGGTTCTGCATCGAATACTTCTGATTCGGCAAATAGTCTGGGATATAAACCAGGTGTGAACACTTTAAAAAGACGATCTTTTGTAATGCACATTTGGCTGCCAATATTCAGTCTTACTTGCCGTAAACCACCACTTCCAACAAATACTTCCTAAAATAAAACTGTTTCTAATATTTTTTATTAGAATAATACTACATTATTTGGAAAATTGTTTGTTTCACAAAACATACGCTGACAACTGTTAAATCGCTCGGGTTGATAGACAGCATCTTGCCGTCGGTGGTTCCACAAAGTAGCTGTCCTTGCCGTAGTGACATAGTTTGTGCGTAAGCTTCCAGTTCTAAATCGTTCACTACTTCCCACATACGCTTGTCTACACATGCTAATCGTCGATCTTCACCACACGAATACAGGTAATTGCTATCTGGCTATAATATTTATAAAGTAACCATAGATAAATAAAAAGCTTTTAGATTCATTTCTTTGACAAGGAATCATTTAGCATGAAAGAGTCAAACATTAACATGAAACTAACGATCTGAACAAGATCGAAAACAGCACTTCGATGATATAGCATATCAGTAATTTTTTGCAATGAATTGCGCGCATCCATAACGACTACTTTTCGCCCAAATGTAGAACAAACAGCTGTTGTACCATCATTTATAACACATAGAACTGCAGAACCCATTTGTACATCACAAAGCGCCTAAACGAAACAACTTTTTAACTGTGTAAAAAGAAATTACTGAATTCCTTACCTACATTTTTGAATTCCAACACTTTGTTTTGTTTTTTATAAAACTCATATTTATTATTAGCTTTATAAATTACCTCGTAGCAAATACTCTATTTCTTTTAGCAAAGTTCTATATTCAATTTTCTAATTTCTTGGCTTATAATTTCATGTTATTCTTAGTTTTCATTGTAAAACAAAAATTCAAAATTGAAAAAAAATCCTTTCGTCGATCATAAAATTCGTACATTAACATGCCCATCAACGATTCGCCACTGTTTCACATAACGATCCCATGCACAGGAATAAAACGTATCTGTATCCGCTCTGCATACGCTCCATATCCATCCCTGTATACTTTGTGAAGCTATGTAAATCACATTAAAATCTTATGCTACTGCAAAAAAAAAGCAGGAATGAAGCAGGATGTACTATACTCCGGAAAGCTCTTACATAGCTAAGAAGGTTATATAGTGGTCATTAAAATTATATTCAAAACATAGATAAGTAACAGCCAATAGATACACTTCAAAGAATGATTCATTCCGATGTCAGAATCTTTTCAAATTGATAATATTTTGATTTTTAAACTAAATACATAACCACTACCTGATGAGCTTCAGAAAATTCATATAATTTCCAGTTTTCGTTCCTTACTCCGTTCTGTAACAATGAACATTTTCAGTTCATTACATTGACAAAATTCTTCAAAATCTACTTACTTCACTTGCTATCTTTAAGCAAACAGAATTCAACTGTCCACTGTTCATACCGAATGCACTGTTTATAAATTTTCGATATAGCGAACAAGGAATGCTACAGAAACCAAGCTTTATCTCCAAATGAATTAATAAAGCATTTCTAATGCCTTCTAAAGAGAAACACTACAGAAATAATGACTACCAATTGTTAAAAAAAAAGAAATCTGAATTTAAACTCATAAAGACGATTAAAGTGAAAAATTGATAAAATTGAATAACAAGCTCTAACAGTTATCGTATCTACATCCCAAATGATTAGTGCACGATCTCGGGCACCAGAAATACATAATCGTTTATGGGCTGATGATTTCATTAGTGCTACAGCATCAACTGTTCCATCGTGTCCTACCGCACAAATAAGTCGTCCCAACCTACAATTTTTAAATAATTCAGAGCTGAATAACTTCAGTAACTGAGGCGAAATAAGAACCTAAAATTTTTTTTCGCTCAGAAGAAAATCTAATGATATCTCATAACAAGTTAGAAAAAAAAGTCACACTTTCCATCTTTCCACCGTTTCGTTTCTTCTTCTGTTCTGGCACAACAGTGTGATAATGAGGATACTGCGCCATATAATTGACACGATGGCAGTTCAACTTCAAATTTTCTCTGCAATATTTTGAAGGTTAACTTAAATGCCGAAACAGTTAAAAATCTTCGTCTCATCGCAAATCTCGAAAAACATGCCATCTACAAAGAACTCCATATACTAAATGATTCATAAACATTATCGCCTTTTCTTTAAAATAGAAGTTACCTGCAATTTTCGTTTCCAATAGCTCTGATCAGCAATAATCGTTGCAAAGAACCGACATGTCAAGCGAACGTTTTGCCATAAGTCACGACTTGGAAGATAATTCAAAATAATTAAAATTAATTCACAGGGCAAATCGATCATCCGTGACATCTTTGATGGGGTACATGCAGTGCTAGCAGTATTAAACTGTAATTTAAAACTATTTAAGTCATGAGTAAACTTTAACGCAGCTTTTACTAGAAATTTCGAGAAATCAAATGAAATGGAGGAAAATTCATTGGAAAACTCCAGAAGCAGAACACAAAAAAAGCATTTGGAACCGATAATATCGGTAGTGAATTGTGAAAAATATCAAAGTAGAACAGACCTTTGATTTTCTCCTTGAAATCTGTTTTTGCAAAAAACTATCAACTGGAGCCTATTTTTGTTAGTACATTAATCGAAAAGATGTTTTTATTAAAATGAACCAACTCTGAATGCTAACACCGAACCGACCAATGATTTAAATTTAAATCCCACTGCGAAGTATGCACTAAACAGAAAATTTTTTTTTCTAACAAATGGTTTTGATTAGTACAGCCAATTTCTACCTTCTTTTTGCAAAACTTGAAATTTATCTTAAGCTTTCAGAAATTAAACAAAAGTAAACAAATGCTTTTGATTAGGACAATCATTATTCTTTAAAGAAATCCAAGACGCAAAAGAGATGTAAATCTTTATTTAGAACATTACATTATGCAGCAAAAAATAACAATTCTATATCTCATTGAAAGAATAATAAGGAAGAGATGTACAAAATAATGGGAACGGAATGTAACAACTTAAACTGTTTCAGCTTAAATTTCAAATGATTAATCACTTATTACGCCGAATTCACTGACTAATCAACATATGTGCCCATCTTTTTAAAGGCATCTTCGACATCAAATTCAGGTTCCCAGATAAGTTTCTCATCATGTACAACTCGTCGACGAAATACACGCAGTGGTGCCGCAAATGCTTTTTTCTAAAACAAACAACTGTCATGCATGTCAATAAATTAAGCAATTGAAAAAAAAATACATTACCCAAATTTTTGAAAAAATGAAATGAATGGTTTTTTTTATTTAATTAGGTTAAAAACATCAGAAAAGATCATATATCATGCTCAGAAAAGAAGCGCGAGTAATTCCAAGCACAGGAAAAACAACAGCATAAAAAACAATTACCTTTCAAAACTTGATGTGTGCATCATGACAAAGAATTCTCTTAAATGATGCAGTCTTGCAGAATATAAACAATCATCCTGTAATGGGTATCATAACATAAACTTACTTTATTAATCAAATAGTTTCCATCGCGATATTTAAGCATTTTATTTTCAAGCATTGTACTGATAATATCAGATGAATGTATACCGGTTTCATTGCTCATTTCTGCAAAAATTAAGTTTTTAAAATGAGAAAAAAATCATGTATTTCCGAATATTTCTAATTTAAAATACTCAATAAGAAACAAATAATCAGTATTACTTTCAAAAAGCTACTATGTTGTTTAAATTTTGACAAAGCTAAATTTTATGCCTTTGATCGAAATAGAGTTCATCGCTCGTCGCTTTCGAATGCAGCATATTATCACTGCTTTCCAATAGCTTCGATATGTGATTAAACCCATGTCTGAAAGTGGATGCTCAGGTCCACCGATTTTCCGTTCTCGTAAAGATAGTTTGTAACCTAAAAAAGATTTTCTGAAAATAAGTGCTGACATATCAAAAAAGAAGTTTTGTCAGTATAAAATTTCGTTTACACTAAATAAGATTTGTAAACAAAAAAAATACTGAGATCAATGAGAAATTTGCCATATCCAGTTCGCTGTGATGATGGAAGCGTCAATAAGCAGCTCAAGTTGTTGTTTTTGCTGGGATTTTTTTCCTTGAATAAAGAGTATTTTAAAACAACAATGATTATTTACTCAATTTTCATAATGGTTTTGAAAATAGTACTAAAAACAGACCTTCGAGAAATAGCCCAGGAGTACATAACCGTCCGATGTATATTCTGATAAGATATAGAACAGAAACGTTTCCACCTCATGATGAAGAGTTTTTGAAAATAGAAACAATTTAGAAAACAAACATAGTCTTCGACAGTAAGCCTGAAATAATATCAAAATGCTAAAAACAATCTTTTAACATAAAAAAAAAATATGAGAGAGGAGTTTCATCTAATTATTAAGTTCATTATAAAATTCTTGATAATCGATTATGATAAATTGAAATGACACTTAGCGCTTCAAACTACATCAAAAATTAGTTCATGGATGAAGAGTGTCGGAAATTTTTTAGATGAAAGCAATAACATGTATGCTTTAAACTTTGTGAACTCAAAATCATTATGTCTAAAAACTTTACATCTTGCAAAACATAACTGTGAATTTAAAATTAACATGAATAAACAAACAATTTCATCGATGCCGTCGACTTCCCAAAATGATAGTCCATCTTCCCGATAAATTTCATTTCCTGGCGGATGCTTCCACTCACAATGAGCCTTAAAAGCAACACTTTATCAATTCATCAAAAAAATATTAAAGCATATGATTTGGATATTCATAAAAATATAAAGCAGTAAATATAAAACACAAAAGACAAATTTTGGAATATTCATAAAAATATGTGACGCATATGAATGTAATCAATAATAAAAGACATCAAACAAATGTAAAATGAATCATTTACAAGAAATAAATGGAAAAATACCGTATGTATTTCGTACAACGTAGAATCTTCAAGAGCTACAAGACAGAATCGACATAAGTAAACACTGGATGATTGCGCGATACGTTTTGGATAGGGTGATGGATACATTGCCAGCAAACGTTCGGAACCGAAATGAATCCATTGTGTTTGAGGTGGTCTTTCTTCATCAGCATTTAAATCTTCCGATGGTTGAGATGCCAGGAATTCTCTTTTAGCAATCGTGTATCTGTAATAATAAATCATATTCTAAAGTAAAAACTCATTATCTCAGTAGAAAAACTTAAAATACTAATCAGTCACAGATATTCGGGAATTCATTTTAATACTGATGTTTCGATGCTAACTTCAAAAAAAATCAACTATGCACAATAAAATGGAAGATGAAATTTCAGATAGAGAACTTGCAAATTATAATCAAACGCAGTTGAATTATCTTTCATCGCTCGTTGTTTTTCAGCCTCTGTTAACTGATCGGAAGCATCCCGCTTTCCATGAATGGAAATTTTAATGCCATCGATGATACCGATATTTCTAGCTGATTCATTTTCTGAATCGCTCCGTTTTATTTTCTAAAAAACTACAACAAGTCTACTACAATACTAACTTTTTATCAATCATCAGAAATAAAAACACCGATTCTCTTCAACAATGCCGATAGTTGCCTGAAAAAAAAAATCCATGTAAGCAAAGGAAAAGAGAAACAAAAACAACCTTTGCGTTTTTTGCAGTAATTTTTTTCTTCAGTGAAAAATTCTCGCTTTCCATCTGTCGTTTCATTTTTCTTTCTTTTTGTTCTTTATTCTTCAAATATTGACGACAAAAATCTTTCAACTGATCATTCATCTGGAATTTTATGAATACATGATCTTTCGCCAAAAAAATATGTCTCAACAATTAATTCAAGCGTTATTACTAATCATTTGAACTATCTCAGTAAAAGTGATCATATTAGGAAGCGCCCACTACGAGGACATTATGCTACCATACGCCATGAGAAAAAAGCATAATGAAAGACATACAGCATCTCGTTCGGCTTGTAACTTCGTTTTCCAAAGATAGGCTGTGTAATCACGCTTTACGTGCGAAGAACATGACTTTTTCACCGTTGATTCATTTTCATGCAGGGAGCTATTCGATGAAGAGGAACTATCTAACAATTCACTAAAAAATCCAAAAGTTTGTTAAGTAGTCTTTCTAATCTTTTCTCTACCTCAACATCTGAAAAATAATCTAATCCTGCCTAATTATTTTAAAAATAATTTTCTAGAATAATTCAAAAGTTAATTATTACAATGTTTGAAAGATCAACTCCTTTACAGGAATAAACTCAAAACGAAATTAAGAAAACAAAATCTTAAAAATCATGTCGTTACTTTCCCACAACCAAAACTATTTCGTATTGATGTAGTGTATTGTTTTATTTTTCAGCTATACACTGAATAGATGAATTTTTGAATAAATTTTATGTCCAAAAGTTTTTAGTAATTTCGATCAGTTCAGAACAAATTTTTTTGCAAATTGATTTTTACACTCATTCAAAATTTTTGAAAGTGTTAATAAACTGACCTATTTTCGATATCCAAAAGATGTTTACATTCCGCACAGAACCAACTCGAAAGTGGGTCTTTCGGATTAACCCATGCTCCAGAACTTGGTCTGCACTTCCCGTGAAAAGCTGCATCACATGCAAAACACTGTACATTTTCTGGCTGAAAATCACAAAAATTACATAAATTGTTTAAGTTTGGTTAACGGGATCAGTGCTAAATTTCTGATTTAAAATCAGAATAAAATGAAAGAAACAACAACGTTTAAAGCAAAATGTTTTACAAGTAAATTTCGAAAATAAGTCAAATTCTAAATCAGTAAAGTTATTATTCTACAAGTTCCGAAATACACCAATCAAAAACTTTAATTAGAAAAAATTGAAAGAGAATTCTATTCTCAAACATAAAAACTCACGTCATATATGAAGTCATTACAATTGTAGCAGTATGTGCATGTTGGACAAAGCCATGTGTAGAACCGTTTTTCGGACACTAAACGTACGGATTCTGGTGCATACCCCAAACATTCCAAATGATCTGAACAAATCAAACGATTCGGATGCTGACTATAAGTTTGAAAATCTCATCCTCGCAAGCATTACGAATTACACCAGATTTTATCAAAAGACTAAGCTACATAATTGATATATTTACGGCAGTACAGAAATAAGTTTCATTAAAAGAATAATGTACTTGGAGGCGTTCAGCTTTATTTTACAAATGTATATGGTCTAGCGCATAGTCAACATAAAAGCTCCCATATTCAACTGAAGAAAATTTACATTTATTTTCGCAAACCGAACATGTCATAAAATCAGCACTTATTTTACATAGCCGACAGTGATCTGCTTCTCGTGACCTGAAATAAATTAGAAAATCATTCCCTCAAGTTAGCAATACATATGTAAAAACGTTACGACACAATAATATAACTCATAATATTGGTCCTACTGTTGAATCATAAACAGTAAATTGAACACGCACTGCTTTTTATATAATCCTCTGGTTTTGATGGGAGAGTTTGTAAAGGAAGAGCTTTTTTGCTGTTTAAATTCTTTGACTTTTGCCGAAATCTTTCCGCCTTTTCTAACAACGACAGATAAGCCAGTAGACGTTCGCGAATTAAGTCGGGTTCTCTTTGCTATTGCAATCCTAAATGATAAGAGCTTATAAGTAAGAAAACTGTAATGATATGTGAACTTGCATTGTAAGACATACTAAATAATAGTATGAACTACAGTGCTAATGCAATCGTTTAATAATAAATACGAAAAATTAGGAAATACTAGGAAAAAATTAATAATAAATACGAAAAATAAGAAATAGATCCAATAAATACGAAAAATTAGGCGCAAGCATGTTGTGATCGTATCTCACAATGTTCCCCGAATATAAATCTATCATTAATTCAAATTTGAACTACTTAATTTTCGCCTGATAAACCAGTTGCTAATGCAATCGTTTAATAGATTTTTTCATTGAATATGCTTTCCCAATTGCAACAAGTTGTTCTTATCCGACAATATGGATAACTTATATAATTGAATACTTGTACAATATGGATAACTTATATAACTGAACATTTGTCCAGTTCCATAAATTTAATTAAGTTAAAACTGCTAAATTACCTCTTGCTCTTATTATTATTATTACTGGTATTTCCTGAAGATGAAGCAGTCTGAGTGGACAAACTTTTTACCTTCCCATTTCCAAAAGTTATTAGTTGCAGTCTTTTTTTCGATGCTTTCGTAGCTTCCGATGTCGTCTTTCGTGTCTTCATTTCTATAACGCAAAAATTTTCGTGACACAGATATTAATGTACGCATCAAATATCCTATCCTGAGATCATAGAAAAGACAGCACGCAAATGCAGAAAAATACATCGTTATAATGGCTTACAAGAAATAGAGCCCAAATCATCAACTGTTTGTAAATTTTTGTGTAAATTACAATTATACGTGGATTTATCTTTATCTTCCTTCCATTCCCCGTACCAAACCCATTCATTTAATTATGGCTATAACTCACGTAATTATATTTATTTCATTATGACTTTTGGCTAATTTTATCACAATGCATTTGTAAACTTACGAAGGATCTTTTCGTCTGTCTCTCTCTTCCTTTTCTTTTTTATTCATAACTATGTCCTATGTTCATTTGATTATGATTATGGCTTACGTAATTATATTCATTTGATTATAACTCACGTAACTTATATGTAACTATACTTACATCTACATGTCAACCATCCTTCCACCCATCAAATTTCTTCATTTCATAAACTATATGTCTAACAAAACAAGAAATTGAAATACTACTCACAATCCGCCATTTCATGAAGTATTTCGTTCGTTGCAGCATGATTTTTGAAATTTAAATTAATGAGTGTTATAGAAAGAAAGACTGTAAGGGGAAGAAAGATTGTTAGGATAGGATAGATTGTAGAGATGTTGAGATGCAAGAGAGGATCATATGACAGATATGATACCCACAGAGTGATATCTTAACATACCATTCAGTTATCTTAGTAGATGTTGACTTGCTAGTTTCGAGCTTGACACAGATATCCTTCTGAAATGATAAACATTAAGCCATCACTATTGCTAATACTGCAGTTGCAACTGCTGCTGTTGCTGCTACTGCTCTAATTCATAGCTCATTGGAATTTTTTGTTATAGCGAAGTTGATTAGTTTCTCAGGTTAGATATCCTTATATTGAATAATATAGTATCGGCGACATCAACAAGTTTTCAAAGTTTCTTTTTACCACTCTTCACAAGTTTCTTTTGCTGTCAGAAAAATCTATCGGATACATTTTTTGCTGCTCATTATTTCAATCAATTAAAATCCTTGTCTAAAAAAAGAAAAAAAAACATCGTTAGTAATGAATGAAATATAAGACAACATGACAGTGTTATTTCTTCAATCAATGCTGTTCTTTCAAAGTTAGCAATTCCATTCTATCCTTTATGCTATTCCTTTTTTTTCTCGTACCTTTTCTATCACTGATAAGTTTTGGCGTAAAGTAAACATCAATCATAAGCTAAGCCAACTGATAGCATCCTTTAGGATCCTAGCATCTTTTTTTCTACTCCCTTCTTTCATTCTTTTAAAGCATCCTCAGTTGTGTTTGTTTTTGCAACTTTGCAATATATGAGTGCTTTATTACCTTACCAATCTTAATATCTTATTTTGTTCAAATAAACGAAGGAATGTCAAAACTCTCGTAGAACTTTTTTCAAGCAAACTCTCAAGCTTTTTGCAACGACCCTTCGCAGTGCTATTTGCTTGTCCACCATAGTGTGAACTGTTCAACGATTGAATAGCCTATAAACTTCACGATGACCTTTCTTCGTAAAGTGTATATTCTTTGGTAATTATTTGAATGAGGACATAAGAGAAATATCATCATCCTTTATTTGAAATTTCCAACTATCTCTCATCTTTTTCTCTCCGTCTCGTTTCTCTAAATTTATAATTATCCTCTATCACAATCTATCCCATCAAAATTACCGTTATTCTGTCCTTTCATTTTTGAAAAGACTTTTAAGGCTTCCTTTTTCCTTTATTTTTCACTTCGTTCACAGCTTTTGTACACTTCACAGCACTGACGTTGTCGAATACTTAACCAGCGAGTTTCTCTGTGTTGCCATCTTGACAGATGTCATTAATTGTAGAATGTTTCTAAAAGATATGTCAAAATATCTTTTCTTTCCTCACGCATCACTTTAAAGCAAAGAAAAAAGGGAAACTGAAGGCAGGATAGAAGGAATATAATTCAAAATTTGTCATTCCAGACAGTTTGTAATATAAATAATGGCAGTAGATGTTAAAGTAAGGTCAACCAGCAATAACACGACCTCATAAAGATGGACATAGCATTAATATGTTCTCTCGAATTATCACTTTTATAAAATGTAAATTTTTAGCATTTTATGATTCAAAAATGGTCAAATCATTATTCAATATATGTTTGGCAGCTACATGCCAACATAACCTGTATGGATATTTGGCTGATTTACCCACATCCTGCAAGCAACGTCTGCTTGAGTTCTTTAGCTCACATGACCAGGTACTACATTATGATTAATTGAAATTATTAAAAATTTTAACCACTGAACATCTCATCAATGCAGGGGAATATTTAAATTCATCTGGCAGCTTCTGAAACATTTTTATTTCAAAAGCTATAAGATAAATTAAAATTTTTGACCCAAACTCAACACAATAAGTCTTGAAATATTAATTTTATTGTGGGACAATTATCCATGAACATAATAAGTTCATGAATAATAGTCCCACACTAAAATTAATCATAATAGTTGTTGAGCAATTCCAATAGTAATTGTCCTTTTTATCCAGAAAATGTTTTTATCACCAGATCAGATGAGACCAATATTCTGTTTCTTAATTAGAGGGTATTTTAGTGATTAATATAATTTCTCTTACATTGTCGATTAAATCATTTCACATAAATTAAATTAAATTTTCACTTTCAGTTATTTTTATCGGAATGCGCTCAGCTTGTGTCGTCACCTTCGTTTGGAAGGAATCTTACGGAATTGCGCTTTTATCTAAGTGATCAAGTGACTGACAGTGTTTTAGAAGCCATTGCAACTCATAATCGTGCACTTCAACAAATTGCAATCATTTATTGTCAAAACATCACTGATAAGTTAACGACTCTGTTTCTTTAAATTTCATTCCAAGTTGAATCTAACGGAATGATTTACATAATTCATCTTCATAGGGATATTATTAACAAATTTCTTCAATTGCTGAGAAAGCATTCTATTAATAACAATTTTCTGGTTTTCAGAATTGTTCCCAAATTCTATTTTAGGGTATCAAAGCAATAACAAGCGGACAACGAAAACTCGAGAAATTAGAATTTAGGGCATTGAAGAAGCTTACATCAAACGGTTTATCATTGATAAAGTCCAATTTGTTATACACAGTTGACCTGAGCTCTTGCACAATGGTTTGTTTTTGAATATCAGATAAATATGTGCTTAACACTGTTTTATCAAATCAAATAATTTTGCCAAAATTAAATTTTTACTTCTTTTAATTCTTCATATGCTAACTTTGGTGGTTTAGAGCGACATGGTGTAGTGGTTTGGAAGGTTCCACTGCACGGCATATTAAAGGTTCGTCTCTCCAAGCCCCATGAAGAGAGAAGATGACGAGTCTGATTCTGCGCGTTGTTGGGTGCAGTTATTGCGTCTTAACGTATATCCATGATGTGTAGAGGCATTTGTCCGAGGGCTTGATGCGAGTACCATTCAGTCTTAGGGAGGAGGTAAAGTAATGCTGTGTAAAAGCGTCAATTAAATGAGTAGGACGAATAACGGCCCATATCTAGGTCCTCTTTATAGGACAAATCAATCCCATGCCTTCTTTAACTATTGCTATTTACAATATTGAACATCTTTCCAATGTTTTCTGGCTTCTAATAAAATCTATCAATTACAGATTAAAAGCGATGGAATCTATCAACTTGTTTACTTAAATCGTAATATTCATTGTTTATATTTAAATAACTGCAGAGGTTAGTCTTTTCAATAATCGAAACATTCCGTATGTACATACCGTGTCATAAATATTGCTTTTATTCATTCTTTAACTATCGTTTTTATGACGCTTAGTGAATTTCGTGATGAAATTTCAGGCTTAAATGATCAAGCACTTTATGATATTGCACATTATCTCGGAGAAAAATTATCGGTTTTGGAACTAGATTTTTTACCAAATGTAGTTGATCCATCTTCTGCTCTATTTTATTTGAGTCGTAACTGTCCAAACATCAAACAGTTATCACTTTGCCGCTTTTTCGAAGTACTTTTTTGAAGGACTTATTATTCACTTTCGATTTTTTCTAACATCGATATTCCACGAAATTTGTCCGCTTTTATTCGATTGATAATTGAAAATTAAAGGTATGATACGGAGCGACTTTGTCCATTTTTGCTTTTTAAAAGTGTTTTTTAGGTGGAGAGAGAGCTTGCGCTAATGCCTGAATACAGAATTGCTGGTGTAGGATTGCGCGATGTTGATTTATATGGTTTGTTTAATTTTTTTTACCTAGTTCTCTATTTTCACTTTTATACTCATTACTTCCTTGTTGTCATTCTTTTCCGATTTTTTCTTGCAATTAATGAAATCGTAACTGCAGAATACTCTTATAATGTACACTATTCTTCGATACTGAGTTTATCTATCTTCTTTCTAATATGAGTACATTCATTTGTGTATTCCTATTTATTAGCAAACTTATCCGAAAGCAGTTGAATTCTCGTGATATATTACTGGAGATTGGAGACGCTTTTTGTTACACTATAATTTATAACATATATCAAACTTTTTAGGGAATTATTTTTTCACTTTACCTCTGTTACCACCAACAGTAAGTAGGCTGCGGTTATCAGTATGCGGCGATGAAGACGTGAATAGCTTAATCGATCGTCTAGAAACGTTGCCTCAACTGACGAGTATTCATCTGCAAATGAACTGCAAGGAACTAAGCTGGGTAAGGATTTAACATATTTAATTTGTATTGTTCCCGAAATCCTGGTCTGTTGTCCTGAAAATGACCGTACTGCAGGCAACTTATGCGCACAAACTTTTGTGGTTTGATGACTTAATTACTAGTTCCCCAACCTTTCCCTCTCCTTTTCCCTCCATGAGAACACTTTACACTATAAATTTTGAATGTTTAGTTGTAAAGAGGCATCATTTCCCTGTCCAAATTAAATATTATGCACAAAAATTTTAGAAAAAATAATATGCTTCATCTTTATGCTACGAAACCGGTACACTTTGCCATATTCTGCTCTTAAGATTCTCAAGCTTTATTATAGATAATGTCAAGCTTTTATTGATTTCCATCTAATTTGTCATTTTTAGCGGTGTGTGGAAGATGCTAATACATTCCTACGTTCTGTCTTACCTTATATTGGAAGCAAAATAACGCGGCTTCATGTAAGCTTTTAACTCGTCGAATGTCCTATGATTTTGAGAAACTCCTACGGTATCTATAGGCAGCATTACTTCTGCTCTTAGTTCTGTAAAAAAATACTTCTGCTATTAGTTCTGTAAATTAAATTTGCAAATCCTTGCTTTGGTTCATTTTTTAAATTTCGGAAAATCTCGTAGGAAAGAATGCCTGCTTTTTTTACCACCAATTTTTAGATATCGCTGCCAACGATTATTGACGGCGTTTTCAGTTTGATAACACAATGCCTACCAAATTTAAGTCATTTGGCACTTGATGTAAAACATATCAATAATAAGCTGCTACGATTGTTTTTTGCTGGTTTGCATTTCAATCCCTCCAAATTTGTTGTGTGCTGATTTTGAATAATGGAGCTGAACTCAACAGTCTGTAATTTTTTCTTGTTGATATATAACAGTTTCTCCAACATTTCTGATGAACTTTGTCTCTATTTCAGGTGGAGTTCATTCGCCAGGTTCAAGATTACGATCATTGAAATTATGTCGCCTTCAAACAACGTACAGAGCTCTGTTTGCAATTGCACGTGGAGCCCATTCGATCACGGTGCATAAAGTTTTTTAATTTTTGACTTCAAATGCTTCCCTGTTTAAGTCAAACTTAGTGCTGCTATTTTTTAATCTCGTTTCAAGCCTTTCTTTTTGAAGTTTGGTTTTATCACATCATAAATTGTTCCTAATGACTTAGGAATTATGAAATTTAATAATTACCAAAGTTGTAAAAAGCCACCAGCGAATATATGTGCTATTAAGCTGGGAAAGTTTTTGGATTTTGTATTCTAGGATTTGGAGGTGTCGCATATCCCATGTGTTGATGACCGCTTCTTGGCGCTGTTAGCAGATAATTGCATGGGTTTGAAGAATATTAATTTGAATGGTTGTAAATATGTTACCGACGAAGGACTTGCTGCACTTGCGCGGTGAACTTTGTTTGGTTCTTAAATTTTATTTCTAAGTTTATTTGTTTTTTGTAAGTTCAGAAAATGTTTAAGAATACGAAATTAACTTTAGAAAATTTCTATCCTTGTGTAGAATAAAAAACTTATATTCATTAAAATTAAATAAAAAGAACCAAACAAAGTTCGTCTTTCCATTAAATTCTTTTCAGCAGCCGCAAAGACTCTTATATCTGGTAATTGGATAGGTGCAACTTAAAACTATACTTACAGAAAGTGTTGCTTAAAGGAAGTGCGAATTCGCGCAACATCATGCACCGACAAATCAATCTACTTGTTAGCACAGTTTTGTCCCGATCTTGAATGGATATCACATGCTGATTTCAGTGGACGTCCTAAGTTCAGTGACAAAGCATTGCAATGCCTCAAAGATTCCTGTGTGCAAAGGGTTATTTGCTGAATAAAGTAAAAATAAACTCATTTGTTTCTGCATGCAGAGAATATTTAAACCTGGAAGTTTCGTCTTAGAAGCGAAGGAAAACAAATTTTTCTTAAAGATTTTTTAGAACAAAGTAGAGGCACTATTCTCTTGTATTCTTGATTTCCACTGAAGCAAAATGAAAAGGGTGATTTAAGCTCGGTTTTTCTACCCTGAATTTTAACTTAGTTTGACTGGAAAATGGAAATACATATCAAGTTTTTAATTTCTTATACAGCAAGGTTCAAAGTTTTCTTTAAGACAATTATGGAATTTTTATAAAATTTCATGAACAAAGAACGTACCACGTTGTGACAAGTTTCCATAATATCTATAAAATTGACATGGCTGTGAATAAGACTTGGTAGGAACAACAATATTTTGTAGAAAATGGTAGATTCTAACAGCATTGGAAACCATTGTATCCTGAACTCAAACTTGTCAGAGGAATTAATAGCTTCTGGGAAATTTAATTCCATAAAAATGCAAAGAGAAGAAATATGGAATGCATTATTTGGCAGATTATATTCTACAAAGAAAGCTTAAATATGTGACATTATTAATGAATGGTTACAACATGTAATGATATATTTGATAACTTGTTTCTTGAGAGGGTAAAGTATTACTTTTAAGATTCCTCATCCTTATCAGAAGTGATGCATTTGCTTCGCTAACCATTCCAAAGAATCAATAAATTATTGGGCAATAAATGATGCGATGATTTTATAAAAATGGTTAGATGATAAACTGATCTTGGCTCGTTTATAATGTTTATTTTTTTCAATACATGACATTCGAACATATTTCTGTATCATAACTTAGACTAAAGGAAAATGTTTATATTTCAAAAACAAAAAAAAACGCCAATTCATTTGAACTGATAATTGTTAAACAGAAAAGTTAGCCAAGGAGAGATCACTGAGAAGAATATTAACCAAACATGTTAACTACCTTGAACAGTTCTTTTCGGACAATCGGACAATTCTTATTTGATATTTTTTTTCAAAACTTTATGGAATGATAACTTCAAAGAATAATTGCCCATTTTCCACGATTTTTCCTTATCGCTTACCAATAAGTGAATATTTAACAGCCACTGAACAATTATCCTAATTTTGATCCTTTCCTGATTTGTGGGATTTGAAAACAAAAGATTTTAAAGGTGTAAAGTTACTTCTTGATATCCTAAATGAATTACTGCTTTACAACTTCTCTGAAAAGTTATGCTAATTTTTTTCCTTTTGATTCTCTTATCAATTGTGATCAAGTTGTCTTTTTTTCTGCCACATTTTAATATTTAATTATATTGTAAAGTTTGAAATTTTGCTATTAATATCTTCAAGTAGGAAATTAGTCATAATCTACAATTTTTAGAAATCTATCATAATCAAAATCAAGCAATTTTGGCAAAGTAAAAACTTAGCGTATACTTTTCTAGACTTAATTTTTCTTCTTCTCTGATCATTGTTGCATTGAGTTCTTAAATTATGTTAATTTTTAGCTTTCGGAATAGCTTGATCGCATATATAAATGATTTATCCAGCGAGCATCATTATTGTTCATTTTTCCATCTTTCAGCTATTTTCCTTTTTTTTCAAGTGATTTCGAATGAGTATCATTTTTCGACTGCTGCTATTGCTGAGTGGTATTAGATAGATTGTTAATTGAATAGATTCCATTCCATATTAGTTGCGTTAAGTATTGTGAAAATTCTTTAGCAGTTATTTAAAGATTTAAATCTGTTAAAATTTAATCGGTTCATGACACTTCCAATGGATAGGGGATAATAAGGAGACGAAATGAGTAAATGATGAGAAAGTTTTGTTTTGCTTGTAAAATTGGTCTATTAATTCATCCCATAGAATCCTTATTCATCTCATAGATCAATTCTATAAAAAGTAATTTTAAAAAAATTCCTATCAACTTTTCATAATTCACTCTAAACACTTTTTCAAATTCTTGCAGAGCAGTTTGAATTTATCATGCATTAAATTGTGCCATCTTAATACTAAAATCCCTGTATTCCATAAAACTGAAAGAGTTTACAATGATTTAATTTATTCAATTTAATTTTGCTTCTCTGTTCTACTGGTTAAACCTGTCAATTTTTAATTATTTTTAAATTATCAGTGTAAGAAAATTGGTAATTTTCAGTTTTTGCTGTTTCACACCAATCGATTTGCGGAGAAGAGGTAAGCATTGTCAAAGATTTCACGTATTTTCAAATTTCAACGAATTTCATGTATTCTTAAATTTCTTTCTGAATGACATTCGAGAATAACTTGTTTGATGATTCAGAGCAATCTTTGTGATCTTTCTGCTTCAGATATTTAATGTAAATTACATTTTTATTCAGTGCCACTAATATTAATTAAGAAAAATTACTTCAATAGGAAAAATTTATTAAACAACAAGATTCTATCATAACATTATCAATTTAAATGGTACAACACAGTTATGTGTATATATATTTTTTAAAGGGTCGCACATTTTGTTGGTGGGCGATTGATATCATTGCAGTATCCGAAAATTTTAATCTTTTTTATAATGGTCGATCTGAGATGATCGAAAATAACATTAAAGAATTATGCAATGCAACGAATCAGAGTCATTATGGAATTTCATTTGTTGATGTTACAATGTATTTTGAAGATCAGTAAGTTTCTGAATGAAATACTGTTAATATTAGCGATTTGTAACGAGGAATACAAAGCATACAAGATGGATTAGTTAATTACAATAAAAAATGAGCAACTTGAATTTAAAAATTACATTCTCTTTCAATAATCGCAAAATGCTCAATCATTTATCAGTTTTCTGGCATGATATTTGTAATTATTTGATTGCTATTAATATCAGATAAAATAAATCAAATAATTCTTTTCTTCCATTGAATTTGGTTACAGATTTATAAATAACCTCGCTGAAGTCTCTTATTATTGCTGTAATAACTGTACGCAATATAAAGTATGCAAGAGAGTTTTTTTTTTGTAGTATCAATAACACAAAATAGAATTATTCTAATTTTTTATGTCTTACTTTAGAAGAGTATTTCAACTGTTTCAGACCGATGTAAGGAATATTTAGCATTTCTAAGTTATAACACATACGGGAAAGAAAATTTAAAAGGCTTTTGTATACATTTCTGTATTTTATGATATTCTTAGTTAACTTTATTAATTAACAGCATTTTGTTTAAAAATTCACTCAACAATTTTATGCAGGCTTATAAATCAAAATCATTAAATTCATTATTTTCTCTTTTTTTAATTGGAAAGTTCCGGAAACTTTACAGTAATTTTGTGCAGAAATATAGTAAGAAACAAGTAATCGAAGATTTGTTGGATAATTATTATAAAAAACGATTAGAGCCTTTGGCTGATACTGACAGGCATTGTTTCAACACTTTTGATGACAAAGTGGTATGTGTGATTTGATCGAACGTATATTGTTGGAAGTATTTGCTTCTATTAACGAAATCTTTTCATTATTAGATTTCAAGATCATTGAATTAAATTTTTTTTGTTTTGCAAATAGATATCATACTGTGAGAGGAAAAGAGTTATATTTTTCTTTACATTTTAATCGCTTAATTGCTTAGGTCTAATTTTCAAATTAGTTTCACATACTTTTTAAGATTATTTTGTAATATACTGATATTTTGTAAAGAATATGAAAGAACTATTTCAGAAGAATATTGTGGATAATGCACCATGCATATTTGTCCTTAACGCCAATAGTCTGATGAAAGTGTACAGCGGTCCAATGCTTTGGAACAATATTGATATATTTGTTTTATATCCGAGGGATGATTTTGTCAGTTGAAATTTACTTATCATACATAAATATGAGAATAATTCAAACTTCCGAGAAAATACGAAAAGATGGCATTGATGTTACACAAACTGTAAATATATTGATTTTCAAAAAACTTCAGTCGTAAACTTTAATCAAGAATGAAATATGATGAAGTTAAAATTATGAGTAAAATCGTAATTGGAGCAGTTATTGTGCGTAATGCCAGTATCTGTGGCACTATCATAGAAAGTAATCAGTTGTAAGAAGTGATTGATTTTGAACAAAAAAATATAAATAGGAGAAAATATTTTCCAGAAAGAATTTTTTAAAATCTGAAAAGTTTATTTTCAGAATACGATAATAGAGATGTTTCGAAATGGTAGGGCTTGCAATAAAAATGATAACGGCATTGGAGATGGACAATGTTTAAAACTGGAAGCGGAGGAAGCATATTTTATATTTTGTTGTTGTTGGAGCAATCCATTTGATTGCACCTATGATTCAAGAATAAAAGTTGATATTGAGAAGAACAAGCAGATCTGGCTAGAATTAGCTCAAACTCGAAATCCGGAAATTGCTCTACGTATGGAAGCAATCTATTTTGGTAATAAAGATATCCAGTGGTCATATCATGATTTCATCTACAGCTCTCCTAAAAGTAATACTTCTCATTCATTTCAATTTAATATAATTCAACTGTTTATTACTTCAATAGATGCAACAAAAGCATGAACAGGTAAAAAAATTCTGGAAGTTTTATTCCTTCATATATTCCATTTTCCACCTAATCTTTTAATACATCAATCGATTTCCTTTCTATTGATTTACTTGATATACTTTTCATCTATTCATTTTGTAATTGTTTATAAAAATACACAGCTGTGAATTCATAGCTGTATATTTTCATATTGCGTGTCTTCCGATTCCGGTTATTAATTGGATATGTAGAGCATTCAAAAGAACGGAAAATTAAAGGTTGGAATGATTTTCGATATGAAAAAAATGTTCTGTTTACAGATTCGAGCAGAAAAGATATTGTTCCGGGATTGAATGAACCACGTTATTATTGCTCCAGATTAATTTCTTATACCAGTTCGGACCATCTGATTCCTACTTCGGTTACTTGGAAGAGATTAAAAGTTAACGAATTACCTTTACGATACCGATTTTGCAAATTTACTATTTCACTTCACTTCCAAAATGATAAAGCGAAGAGGTTTGTATACATATGTAATAATTATACGATATTGAATTATTCAATTTCATTAATTAGCTTTACTTCTTCATTTCAAAAAGAAATAGTTGTTTTATCGACGATAAATGAATCGTGTTGTTATTATTAACTATCATATCTGTTAGAATAAACAAAATATTTGCTAATTATAAATTGATAGCTGGTAAAAAAAGAAAAGCAAAATGGATAGGAAAAATAACGGACAGCATTTATTTTAATCACTGAATTGAACATTTTAATAATGTATCAAAGAAATGACGAATAAATGATTGTTAAGTGCAGCAAGGCATTATTTTTAAAAGTTTCGTGTAAATTAAGAGACTATCTTTTATCGCAGACTTTTTTGCATATTGGCTAAGTTTGAAGCGGTGATCATTTCGAGAGCTTATGAAGTAAAAAAATAAGGAGATTGATATGGGAAGATTAATTTATCAATTCTAATAGGAGTTCAAAATAGGAAATGGTTGAACAATTTTAAAGAATGAACAAAAAGATCTACTAACGATTGGTTAAACAAACTAATTTAGATATAAATTCGCTGCTGACATTCAATTATTGCTAAAAACAATTGCATAAAATAATGGATAAGTATATTGGGAATGATGGATGAGCATATTAGAATTTTTGCATTTTAGATGTTGCAAGCATATTTCAGAGTTTATTTTATCAGAAAGAAAGTTTAACATAGCAGCGTTAGCACTCTGTTAATTTAAGATAAACGCATATAACTAACTTTTATCTTAAATTTTGCATCAAACTGTCAGTTAAATCAATTTTATCATCGTTAATGGTAATTTGAAGTTTGGAAAGTTGTACACAAAAAAACTGATCCAACTGCTAGATAGTCTTTCAGTGATACGAAACAAATCATTCAATTTCAGGAAACAAAATATTTAAACATTTGCAATATATGTTCCTGTTGGATTTTCCAGATTACCTAATTACTCCAATCCCAATACTAGAAGAAAAATTTGAAATGAAGCACTAATATCGTTTATTAGTAATTTGATGAAAATGAAACCATACGTTCAGGATCCAGTACAGTGTTAGACCGGATTTTAAAAAAAAATGTAAAAAAGCGCAATGTACACACGAATCTCCAAAATGTTTGACTGATGTGTTACGAGCAAAAACAGTTCTGATTCGATCGACCTGCTGCTGTGCAAGCAATTTATGTAGCACCTGGACGGAATATGTCGATTATGAAGAGTTAAACGTGAAATCGAAATATTTTACTACGTATGACATCTTTTAAATTTATCACAACTTTTAAGTCTGATTTCAAATCCAGTCCTTTTTAGCTAAATTATTTCATTTTTTGAAATTGATATTAATAAAAATCTGATTTGAATCTAAAAATTATATTTGAGGAAAAGAGAAATGGGAAGGAACAAAAGAAATTAAAAAACACATAAATAGTAAGATACTGGGGGAGAGAGATAACAAAATACTGATTGATTTAAGTCAAATTTTGTTACAATAGATATGTGTCATTAATATATTTTACAAATTTGACTACATGGAATTCAGTAATTAAAATAACATTTTTTTTAAAAATGAAATCCTTTTTTTTTCAGCCTTTTCGGTTCATGTTTTCATCAATCAACAACATATTTAAGAAGTGCTTTAGCTAGTCCTGATGAGTGCGTGAGAAATTTCGATTTCCGATTTCGAGAAGAAATTTTTATAAATGAACACAATCTGATTACATATATATTTGCTCATAAAACTGTAGCAATAACCGATAATACTACGGATGATAGGTTAATTCATTTTGAATGTATCTCTGCTTATTTGGAATTTGAAACTAGACATACAAGTAATTTAAATTTATTGCATCTAAAAGACTTTTAACTGTTAATTTTTTATTGTAAAAGTTGATAGCAAATTACAACAAATTTTATCAACTTCCTTTGATTCAATTCTTTTATTACAATTCTTTTATGTCCACTACCTGACCATATACAAGAAATAATGTCTAAACATGGATATCCGGAAATTTTAACTTTTCAAATATCCATTACTTCCCAATATTAGGATCTCATCAGTGTATTCCTAATAGTTGTTCTGCTAACATACATTATTAAATAATGTTAAAGAGATTTAAGGATTCGAAAATAGTTTGTCTAAGCTTCAATAGATATTCAGAAAACAGGAAATAAAATCAGCTATATTTCTTATTCTCTCGTCTTCACATTTCAAATTTCTATTCAGTAGATTACTAATAGTTATTTGGTATTGAATCATCAAACATTCATCTGGGGAATTTGAGTAAAGCTGTTAGATTTTTAGATTGTAGAATAATTACTCTCAAAAAAAAAAATTCATATTTATGGGCTTATGGCCAAAAGTACTAAGCAAACAAAATTTTCCATCTCCTATTTTTAGTCTTTCTATTCATAAACTTTCCTCATTCCGGTGTTTTTCTATTTCGTTAAGAAAAATTCAAATACCATAATTGATCCTTATTTGAACCAATTATGGATCGTAATTTCTAAAATAAACTAGTCCATAACATAAACTTGTGGCACATTTTTCTTATCTCTATTTTTACTTAATTAAGAAGGTCTTTAATAACTATTTGAATCTTTTTTTTGTCGTAATAATTAATCACAAAAAAAATTTTTCTATTCTTTCAACAATTAACACGTATGATTGGTTATAGTTTGAAAAATAAAGTCCACAAAAGTATCGATCAAAAATGAAATTAATAAATGCAATATACACTTGCTGCATTTTTCTTTAATATTGCTTTCTTTCTCTATTAGTGTAACAGAAATTAGAGATAATAAAGGAGTGAACATGTTAACCTCCTAGTATATAGAGAATTTCATACTTCTGACTTATGATTCATACTCATTTAAAGATAAATAATTTAGATAATTTAAAGTGGAAGGAAGAGTTCGGTAATTATCAAAGGGAACAAACAAATTCATATTATTACATTTTTTGACCATTAATCATTAATAGGTTAATAGCAGAATTTCTTCCTTTTATTTATTCGATAGAATTGTTACAGCTGATAGATTTTATCTAGCCTTCAAGGTCAGTGCTAACTCATTTAATCTTTACTCTCTTCTCCTTCATATTTGCAGAAACTGCTTGTTATCATTGTAGGAGAAAGCTATCATGTGCTATTTATCAGACATATCCATTAAGAGATCCATACTGCCATTTGAAGAAAAATTATGAAAGCGAAAGAAGCATCTTACAGTATTATAATTGCAAATGTGATGTTACAAAAACAGCTTCAAAATTAGTAAGTTCATCATCGGTTGCAGCATATTTATCACACATTGGCCTATTTTACCAACATTCTTGAGATAAAAGCCTAATAATTATGCTAATTAGATATGGTACTGTAGCAACTCTTACCTAAATTCTTTTAACCTACCCTCAAATCCTTAATGATAATATTTTCATTTTGCAAAAATTGAAAAGGAAAAAGCTTTTATATGATATGTAATATGTTTCAGTATGAATGTATGCCTAAGTTACCTCCAATCTAAAAGCAACATGATATGTTTAGCATCCTTTATATTTTTCTTAATTTGTTGAATTTAGGAAAAATGCGATGCCGAAATTAATTCTGAATTGTTACTGACATCATTGAATTGGACTAGGCCAACTTGCTTTTTTACCAGTATCACTGATCATCGATCTATATTTCCTTCGGAAAAACAAACTGGCTTAAGCGAAGGTTCTGAAGAGGTATTGATAAATGTATTTGCTATTAACAATGAAGAAGGAAAAGAAGGGAATAATGATGAAACAAATGCAAACTTAATAAAAGAAGAAAAAAACTTGCACATCAAAATTTATGACAATAATAATTTTACTCATTCAGGAAACAGAAGAAACACCGATTTGTGGGATAGCCATAATAATTAGCAATTCCGGTCTATTTTATCGATTTTACAAATCACGCTATTCTCACTTTCAAGAGGAAGTCGCATCGAAGAAGCGTTTTTTTGTAACTAAATGGAACAATCATACAACCTATACAATACTGTGTCAATCAAATGAAACTATTCCATGTAACAGTACGTCCCTATTCTATTCTATTCTACTTTTTATTTTTTAAATCAATAATGAATGATTACAGTATGATTCTTTTCATAGCTGATCAGATATCAGTTATAAATTGTATATTGGCGATTTGTTATATTCGCAAAAATATTGATGAAACTGAAATCATGAAAAATTTAACTTATAAAGTAGAGATCCGTTGAATTTCGCAGCACTGTTCAAAACAAAAAAAAAAGAACTTTCTCATCAATGATAAGAAGTATGATTTTTTTTGCAGATATACAGAACTTAATGTTACATCATCTAAGCTATTCGTTACGTCATCATTCGAAAACAAAAAAACCACAACCTTATCATCGATGCGTTGTTTCTGAAAAAACGAAAACAAGAATAGAAAAATGTTCATCAACAAGCGGTTGTTTCACATTCAGTTATCTTAATTCACGTGAAAAACTGGTTAGTAAAGAGAGATTGAATGAATTATTTTTTACATTCATATCGGAATTTAATTCTAATTTTACGAAAATCACTGATGGAAAATTAAAATTTTTGCACATCATCTTTATTGTTACTTCATCGCAAACAACTCCAAATATGATACTGTCATTATCAATCAACAAATAATGCACAAGGAATGTTACATATACTAATTTCTGGTAACGATTGGCGATAAATATGAAACTTAATTAATTGGTAACTTTAGATGATCAGGAGAATTAATTAGTGATTTCAGATGATCAAGAGACTTTAACTGACATTTCTTCTAAAATTTAAAAGTCTTGTGAGGTAGAGAAATGTCCACAAGATATGGAACTTCCGAAAATTTTTTAATAAATGAACTTGAAGAAATAATTTGTGATAGCATAGCATAATCTAATCAAATAACCATTTTAGACTGGTTGTGTGGACAAAATACCAGCATTGGTGGAAATATCACCCGACCTATCACCTCTTCTGTGGTGTCTTCAAAAAACTTACCACAATAGCAAATACAGATGCAGAGCTTACAAAACGATCACCAATGTGACGGCAAGCGGAACTTTATGTTGCTGTTTTAAGGATTGCTTCATCATGTTTGTATCTTTCATCATTATTTTTTAAACTAAAATTGAACAGAAAAAGATAAGCACTGATGACTTCAGAATATTAAAACATGACGAAGATATTTTCAAAAATTTCAAATGTGCTAAGAAACAATGGAATGAATTCAATGGGAATTATAAATTGCTATGTATCTGAGACCTTTTAAAACGTTAAAATATAAAAATATGAAGCAGTGCCCATCTTCTGCTAACATACTGTTCACTTTGATGATCTCATCAGATCAAATTTCATACTTCTGCCATCACCAACGCCACTAATATCAATGAGTGTTGTCGGGAACGGTTAGGTTCAGTCGTTCTAATGACCTATTCCATGTGATGATTTTAACTTAGAATATTGTTCGCAATAAAACAAAAATCGAGGCTTAGCTATTGCTTCTTCTAATTTAACAAATCACAAAACACAACTTGATCGAGTAATCGCTGCAACAAACCACTAAAGCTGTTTATTACACTTTAAATTTCAGGACGGATGAAGAATATGGTTTCAATCCCTTCGAAAGTGTGTTGTAGCAATTTAATGGTTACAATTTTCCACTTTTTTACCTGATTTCACATAGTTAATTGTATAAGTAAAGCCCATCCCATAAAAATGACTTCCAAAGCGTGTCAAAATTTGAATTACTATGCTGAACAGCCACTAATTTAGCTTCGATGGCAAAAAACATCAACCCCATCCACGATCGTTTTAACATTATATCTAATGTCATCTATGACACAATAGTTCAATTCTTTTTATTTTATATTTCAAGCGCATTTTAGTCAAATTTATTCCAGATCTTTATCTTACCAAATATTATCAAATAATTAAACCTTCATGATGAATAATTGTCTGTCCTAAACTGCGTGTGAAATACACCGCAGGATTGAACTAAAAGACATTTACTAAGAAAACCAGCCTAATATCCACATCAGGTTTAATAACTATCTCAATTTACAAAGTGAATTCATGAGAAATTCGACTCATAAACATGTGAAAAATAGATCTTGCCTAAAACATAAAACTTGCATGTAGCTCTAGGAATTCTAATCGATAACGATTGAATTTCTGATGTTCCAGATCAACCGGAGAGTAAACAAATAACACCGAGTCTTAGAACAGTAATTATAGTTAACACATAATAAATTCAAAATAGTAAAATATAAGCAAACGAAAGAAGAAAAAGCATAAATAAAATCGAATAAGACTAAATGAAAAAAATAAAATGGGGGAAAAACTTCTAATTTTCATTCATTTCTTATTTCAAATTTGTCTATTATTCTAAAGCCACACAAATAGTTGCTGCTCCTAAAAAATATCTATAATTAAGTTGAACAAAAATGGTATAATTTCGGTGAGAAAAAAAGGATAGATTAAGCTAACAAAAATTAAAGACAAATAAAAAGAGTAATGAACAGTAAAACATGCTAATAAAATGTAATTAAATATGAAAAAGCTTAAGTGAATTCTTTAGAAAGCCAATAAATGCCAATTGGATAACTATTTTCAAGAGTCTTAAAGCACCAGAATGAAAATAGATGTTCAATTCAGCACAAAACCCACACAGCTTAACACAACTAAAATTTCCGGACTACTTTACAAATGTAGAGAACAAGTAAAAATTATTTCATTGCCACCACTTACATTAATTCAGATATACTTCGTGAAGCATAATACAAGTTCAGGTCGTATATGGAAAAAAAATTCGGAGCTGAAATAAAAGAACTGAACAAACAAAAGTTTATGCACGTCAGTCAACAAAGCAAATTTCAAGATACAATAAAAACACAAAGGACAAATCCAGATCTTCGTAAAAACCCTGCATCCTTTTATAATTAAATAATTTTCGAGATATTTCTCGGACAGGACAAAAGCCACAACGATGGATTTCTAAACAACACATGCAGTCACTCAACAGTTATATCCAGCATTCAAAAGTTCATTACCACTCATTACAGGAACAATCAGATCATCCATATTTGGACAGACCAAATTTTTCTCTAACAATAAGCGAAGCTTATTTTCAATCCAGCTGGAGACAGTACTCATATCAACCAATCTGTCGCCCACTTGCGGAACACTTCTGATTGAAAGTTCTGGGGGAATACGGAATGCATACCTGAAATTATCATCTAAAGCTCCTTTAACGTCTCAATGAAATTTTTTTCAAACTTTATAGCCGAGATTTTGAAAAAAGTCAAAGTGCTGATTAGTAAATAAAAAGATTTACCAAAGTCTGTCAGAAGGAGGTGGTGGAATGTTGATCGTCATAGTTCCTTCTAAGCGTGTTACATCGACATTTAGCAATAAACGTGTCGAAGATATACCCTCCATCATCTAAATTGTAATAAGTACTTTCTGCGATAAGTGTTTCCAAATTTGTCTACGTCAGAAGAAATTATGAGCTATGAGTATGAATGCATAAAAGAAAATGGAAAAAATGTTTGCCGCTCGGAAAAGTGGCACACGAATGATAATAAATAAAACTAAGGATATATCGAAAATGACTAAGTCCTCGTATATCACGTAATAATGGATGCGCATTATTTTTATACAAATTAGAAAACTAAAACTAATGAAATGCAACAAATTCAAGATATCACTAGTAGACTTTAAGCTTATATTACAACAAAAAAACAGACCTTTTTTACAGGTGGGAATTCGGAAGCACCTTGAAATATATTACTGCTAGCTATTTTATCAACCACATTCAGTAATTTTTTACCCGTACTTTCTTTGGTAACCTGCGTTCTGAAAAGCGTACATTTTAAAGAAAGAAATCTATTTCAAGTCTGTACAGCTTTAGAATGCCAAATGAATCGATATTATTGAGAACAGGTCTGATTTTGAAATATCTCCAAAGGAACTAACTTTTCCATTTTGGAACCAAAGTCTTCATCCGGACTACTTTCCGGAGATTCTGGAAGGTCCGAATCAGAATAGTGATGAACGCGTACCGGAATTTTCACTTTGTTAATCTAAATTCAAATAACCGCTTAATATAGCTTTTAGTCTCAGTATTTTTTGAGTATTCAAATCCCATACAAATTAAAATAGTACCTCGCTCAATATTCCGTTTTTGTGCATTCCCTCTTTCAGTCTCATTAAATTGACCTTTGTTTCCAATGTCAAATGGATTTTACCACGGTATTTCAACTACAAGAAGAAGAATATACTTCCATTTGTTATGTAATTGATATATTTTTTATTTCTTAAACTAATTAAATTTGATCCAATGCATTTTTCAAAATAAATAACTCATTAATGATAAAAATTGGAAATAGAGAAACTAGCCTAAGTTTACATTCACATTTGAATTTCTCACTCAAATTAATTATAATACACAGCAGATACTTCAAAATCAATCCAAAGCCCCCAATCATCCAGAACAGGTGAATGAACAGCGACAACTTCAGGTGAAGTAGTGCCCAAATCCAAACTTGAAAGCTCCAGAGTTTCGATAAAATATGGCAACTAAAAGCGAATAATAGAACTATTTCATTCACTCTGTGAAGCAGGTCATAGAAATAACAATATTTAAATCCAAAACCAAATAAGAACTTTATCAAATTGAAATCAGTTGGTAAAAGAAATTCTAAGCATTTATTTTTTAGCAAATTTTGTTTAAATTTAATAAACTTGATCCCAATTTTTAATTGCTGTCCTTTAAATTAGTAATGCAGTGCGTGAAAAAATATGTGTGGTAAGTAGTTCACATATTAATGTACAAAACACAAAATATTTCAGAAAAATCGTAAACTAACATGAAGAGTGGCTAATTTAGACTGGATTTTGTCCTGCACTTGTTTACACCAATATGCATCTCGACAAAAATCATAAAATATTCTGAAACATATTTTGAAAATTTTATCGACCACTCGAAATTTCTAAAAATAAGATAAAAAGATCGCTCATTTATTTCTTAAAAATATAAATATTTACGACAAAATCATCGAAAATTTGAATGTCAAAAAATCAAATGTCAAGAACACAGATGAAATCCGAACCGAGCAGCTAAAGCATTTACAGACATAACAAGCTGTGAATCAGTATCAATTCTTCCAGGATTCCATTTGTTACGTCCCAAATCCATGTATATAACATTGCCATCAGTTCGTTTTTCACTTTCGTCGCGTGAAATTTTGAGAATTTCATCAATACATCTGAGCAAGAATAAAAGAGCCAGATTTCAAAAAAGCAACTCGAAAAATTACAAAAAATTGTTGTTTTAAAACTAGTAATTATTTTAAAAAATATGAAACAAAATCAAGGTTCGTACTTGTTGAACTGTATGCGATTGCTGACGTAAAGAAAATATTCCAAACTCATTTTCAACGATTCTGAGTCCTCAGCCAACAGAGGAAGTGAAAAACGACGATCCAATGAAACTTCTTTCATATCGCTTCTTGGGAGCTATAACATTATTTTCTCTAACAAAAAAGCCAGTCACTTGAAACAAGTATTTTCAACTCGTTTAATTCACCGCAAACTATCCTTCCACCTCCGGAATTGTTTCATTTGCCGTAACTGTCTGTTCGTCAATTGTTTCATTCCATATACATTTTGTCTACGTCAATTTCGATTGCCTGGCTTTTATTTGGTCGAAATTTCCGAATTACTGCTACACATTACTTGGTCCAATTTATCTGATTGTGTGACTACTAATGAATAAAACTTCAAGTTGAGTTTTACAAAATGTTCGTAAATTTAAATTAAAAATTGTCTGAACCGTTATTTCTGCAGTCGCAGTCCCTGTGCTGCACTGACTGCACGCTTCTCGCAACCTGCAAAAATACCGCAGCTGAAGTACCAGAAATATTTAAATTATCGATTAAGCAACCACAGAAAAAAACTGTTTGACAGATAAATTTAAAATATTTAAAGCATTAAATTATTTTTTTAAGCATTTAAAGCATTAATTAGCGGTAAATCAAGAAAACAATATGCAAATGCAATTCCAATGTCCAAATACATTTTCAACAATGCTAGCCAAACATATGTGCATGCCAGATCTTATGCAATTTCCATATTTTTTACCCATTCGATATAAAAATCGTTTATAATTCTTTAAAACTACCTGTGGAACCAGCGTTCTTTTTCTCTAGCACTACGAGCAAAGAAATACAAACTCTGGCCTCTCGTTAAATCGTTACTTCGATCATTCACGCATTCGTCAAAGAAACTAATATTAGAATTTCTCTGTCCGCTTTTTGTGCAAAGCGCACATTCTGCAAAAACGATGTGTTTCCAAATATGGGAACCTATGGAAATTGTACATTTTCTTAACTTAATAAAATTTAAATGTCCTTAACAAAAAAGTGCAGTTCGAAAAATCTCAAGAATGCTAGAACATGTTAAAATTAAATAAAATAGTTCAATCTGACTAAGATCAGGTGTTCAGCAATAGATGCCTAATCATAAAATGAAAATGCAATGGTTAAACGATTAAGCTAGTAAAAAGCTTAAGTGATTAGAGTTACCTAGTTTTCATGCAATTTATCTATGAGGAATATTAGGAGCAATGAGAACGAAAGACATACGCAAATCTCTATCTGAGTTTTCCTGTGAAGGATGTTTCATACCATTCCTATGCATTGCTTCTATTGATTCTGGTGATCTTAAAAAGATTTGTACATTGAGTTTAAACAATGAGACCACATTAAAAACTTTTGGCCACAAAACACACGTATAAGATAACAGTTTCAAAAAAAACTCTCCACAAGTGTAGAGATTTCATAATTAGCTTTTACAATTTAGCTTCACCATATTTCATGTAAAAATAGCAGATTAGAAAGTACTGTATGAATCTAAGAAATTTAGTTGGTCTGATATTGTGTTGCCTGTAAATCGGAATATAAGAAAATTGTGACATGACACAATTTATAAAATCATTAATTTAAGGATCTCAATTTTTCTAAAATTCGTCAACCTCATTTCCTTTTTTTTCTTTCCAGTTAACTTGCATTCATTTATTTCGCAGCCTTCGTCACTAGATAATGTAGATTTTGCAAATTCAATTGTTTCATTCGCAGAAAATGATCTTCGAAGTGATGGAAATGTCGATATTTCACTATCTCTAGAAGCTAACTGAATATGTATTGGATATTTACGACTCCACCAACGCCTTTTTGCCAAACGTTTGGGTCGTAGCGTGATCTAAAATATGAAATTTGGAACATTAAGAACAATTACACGAAAGTGAAGTAAAGAAGTTACGAAATAATAATATGAATCATATTACCGTAGCTCCTATTAAATTGTATATGCTTTGACTCGAAACTACTGGTTCTGCTTCTGTTAATGTTGGATCAATGTGAAATGCATGTTTGAGAACGGCTCGTTCTGGGCGCGAAATGAGCAGTAAATTACCATCAAGGCGTACAAGAACTGTTTGGGCCTTATTAACATGATAAGTCGATGAATCGTATTTCTCTCGAAGTTCATTCATCCAGCCCTACGAATGCCAATTTATTATTTCGCAAATAACTTAATATGATTATCCAATCATAATCTACTAGCACACTCAATAACTCCTCAATATAAGCTCGTTTCCTGAAAAAATGATATCCTTACAATTCAAACACACTCTAGAGCTTTGCAGGAAAGACCCTCTCTCAAAAAAAACGTGGGCACTCGAAATACATCTAGTAATATCAGCCATGTTTTTGTTGACTAAATCGCTTTTTCAAATGAATGCTGCAATCGATTATATATACACAAGATAAAACTGGCGTATCTTAAAGCAAAGCATAATATAATGAAATATAAAATGAAGCTTCCTGCTATGAACTACAGTGGTATACCGATCACAGATAAATAGATCCATAATGAATGTATGTAGTAAAACCAAAAAAAAAATTCAATTGAAACTAAGTTTGCATTAGTTTAAGAAAGAAAGGAGAATTAAAATGCAAAAATGAATTATTCCAATGAAATTCCTTTTTCAAGGCAAGTCTAGCAGTCATATGATATGTCTGAAAAGTTGGAAAATGCTCGCACTGACCTTATATATTTTATTTTTTGGAGTTTCCTGTTCCTTAAATTCTTCAGATATGTTCAGAATAACACCGCTACGTACAGGAAGATTCTTATTCACTGGTCCAGATACAAAAAAGTACAGAAAACACACAAATGATATGTACAAACCCCAAAGAAAACCGCTTATAAAACCTGAAAAAATAATCTATTGCAAAAAATTATCAACGAAACATTAATAAACCACAAAAATTTTTCTTATAACCTTGTAATTTCTGTGACATATCTACAAGAATAAAATATATACAAATGAATAACGTTGTTCATTCATCATATATATATATA